CTCATGAAAAGGAGGCTGAGCCAGCAAATCCCGCACCTTCTGAGAAGCCGGAACTTGCCGCGGAAGCTCCCATCCTGCCACCTCCTGCAAAGGCTGCCAAGCTGAGTGCCACTGGTGGTGAATCGTCAAAGCCGGATGAACCCAAGGAACCGGATTTGTTGCACATGAAGGCTTGGTGGGACACCTTCAAGTGAAAACGGTACCCTGCCTGTCACTGTTCAAAAAATACTTCATACCAATGAAACCCACTCACTTTTCACATTCATGTACCTGGGAGGCTCCGCTGGTGAGGCGCTCTGACCAACTCGGGAAGGTGGTGGACGTGACCGGCAATGATGGCCATTCTCGTGAAGACCAGACAAAAGTTGAAGATGAGGAAGCAAAAGGTGAAGCTGAGGAACCAACTCCTGGCCAATCTTCTGCTAGTTCTGGGCGGGGTCGAGGTGGCAAAGGAAGGGGGAGAGGCAAAGGGAAGAGCAAGACGCAAACCGCAAATGCACCAGAAGTTGTTGATGTAGACGACAAAGCTGACGAATCAGCAAAGGCTACAAGGAAGCGTGGAAAGGGCAAAGCTGAGAAAGAGAATGCAAGCAAAGTGCAGAAGACTGAGAAAGGCAAGAGCAGTGATGCTGCGCAAGGTGGTGAGGCTGTAGACGGGCAGGGCAAGGGAGAAGGGGAGAAAGCTCCCAAGACAACGCGCGGCAGAGCCAAACAAGCAGAGAAGAAGGATTCACCAGACCAGAAGGATTCAGCCACTGGTGGAAGTGACCAGCCCAAAGAGGTCACAACTTTTGCAGGCCGCTACTGCCCGCAATCAGAGCTTGGTGCTGCGAAGTGGCAAGCCATCCGAGAAGTCTTCAACACCAAGATCAAGCCGCGCATCAAGTCTCATTCGAAGCTTCAGGCTAGGGGTGACATGGGGTGACAAAGCCTAGCCTCTCCCCATCACCAGTGCCAAGTCATACCAAGACAGGTTGAGAGGACGCAGAGTAAATAGTGCCAACTATGATCTCGTTGGCCCTTTTTTTGGAAGTCTCTTAGCCATCGGAACCATAGCACGATCGACTTACAACTCGTAACCCAACCGTTTCTTTTTTGGAACGTGACAACCCTTCCAGGTTAAGTTCTGGAACCATTGCATGGCGGATGAGGGCATCAAAGCTGCCAACACCTATGATGGTTGGTTTTCAGCTGCTTCAGCATTGGAACCTACTTTTGATGGTGCCTTGGGCCTGAATCTCCAACACATTTTTGTGCAAAGCAAAACTTACACCGCCAGGGCCAAGCAGGGTTTTCCGGTAATGAAAATCTTGAAGCCAAAATTGAACATTCCACTTCTAAGGAACAGTGCCTGACGTGAAGGTCGCAAAGCCTGCAAAGGGAGCCGAAGCTTCTTCCCATAAGTCCGAGTGAAAAGCTTTGGGGCTTTGAGCTATGGGTATGACAGTTTGAATCCAAGCTGTCCGATTTCATTCACCAGAGGGGATGTCATGGTAGGTTGACAAATAATTTTGGACCCAGGTCCCAATCAAAACACGCGCCAGCCGGTCCTTGTGAGGGAAGCCCACAGGTGGCTAACTCATGAACCTTCGCAGCATGCCGGTAGGCTGTGTTCACTTGGTCATGCGATATATGGGAAAGGGTGCGGAGTCTGCAGTGCAAAGCCAAGTTGAAACCACTCAGCATGCACTTTAGGATGTCTGTTGAATCATGACAACTCAAATGCTGGGAGGCCTGGGTCTATTTGAATGCCAACAGCATGCCAAGGCCTGGCTGCACCTTCCCGTGTAGATGACCGGTTTGCGTTATGCCCCACTCTTTTCACGAAAGCTAGCACCAGCTAGCTGGAGTTGTCCTTGCTTTAGCAAGTGAGGGGCTGGAATCCTCGGGATCGCCGCATCACGTGAAAATTTCATATGTAGGGGGGG